CTTAAGGACCTCACTTCATGTAGGAACCCTAGTCCTAACCCTAATCCTAATGTGCATGTTTAGGTATGCATTCTGGCAAAAGTTCCTGCTTTCTTATGAAACACTCCTCAACATCCTTAAACTTTCTCTAAGAAGCTACTTGTATCATCTCCCATAATGCATGTCTTCATTATACTTCAAAGGAGTATGAGAGCCCTCCCATGACCACAAATCCATCAAAAGAGAATACTCCATCATACTGTTAGTTCCCCATTAGAATGTCTAGGCATTTATTCCCACACTGCATTAGTCTGTTCTCACGATGCTAACAAAGACATAACCAAGACTGAGTAATTTATAAAGGAAGAGGTTTAACTGACTCACAGTTCCACATGGCTGGGTGGGTGGGGTGGGCTTACAATCATAGTGGAAGCAAATGAGGAGCAAAGTAATATCTTACATGGTGACAGGCAAGAATGCTTGTGCAGGGGAACTCTCATTTATAAAACCCTCAGGTTTCATGAGACTTATTCATTGCCATGAAAACAGTATGGGGGAAACCACCCCCATGATTCAATGATCTCCACCTTGCTCCACTCTTGACACATGGGGATTATAATAATTCAAGGTGAGATTGGGGTGGGGACACATCCAAGCTATATCGCACACCTTTATATAAAAGCTTCTCCCCATGAGTCCATCCTCATTCCCCTTTACTTCTCACCTTAGCAACCACCATTCCATATTGAAAATCCACAAGGGTGGAGCTGCTTAAGGCCTTGGAAGCCCACCCCTCACAACAATGTGCCTTGGCTGTGGGATATGAAGTCAAAGGAAACCATTTTGCAGCTTTCAGATGTAATGACTTCCCTGCTGTGTTTTGAACTTGCATGTGGCCTGCAGCCCCTTTCTTTTGGCAATTTATTCCTTTTGGAACGGGGCTGGGCACGGTGGCTCAAGCCTGTAATCCCAGCACTTTGGGAGGCCGAGGCGGGTGGATCACGAGGTCAAGAAATCGAGACCATCCTGGTCAACATGGTGAAACCCCGTCTCAACTGAAAATACAAAAAATTACCTGGGCATGGTGGCGCGTGCCTGTAATCCCAGCTACTTAGGAGGCTGAGGCAGGAGAATTGCCTGAACCCAGGAGGTGGAGGTTGCGGTGAGCCGAGATCACGCCATTGCACTCCAGCCTGGGCAACAAGAGCGAAACTCCGTCTCAAAAATAAAGAAAGGAATGGAAATGCTCATCCAATGCCTCTACTCACATTGTATCCCAGGCATAAATAACTTGTTTTTGATTTTACAGGCTCATAGGTGAAAGGAATTTGCTTTGTCTCAGATGAGGCTTTAGACTTGGACTTTTTTTTTTTTTTTGAAAAAAAGTCTCCATCTGTTACCCAGATTGGAGTGCAATGGCATGATCTCAGCTCACTGCCATCTCCACCTCCCAGATTCAAGCAATTCTCCTGCCTCAGCCTTCCAAGTAGCTGCAACTACAGGCACATGCCACCATGCCTGACTAATTTTTGTATTTTTAGTAGAGACAAGGTTTCACCATGTTGGCCAGGCTGGTCTAGAACTCTTGACCTCAAGTGATCTGCCCTGCCTTGGCATCCTGAAGTGCTAGGATTATGGTCATGAGCCACTGGACCCTGCCTGGACTTTCCAGTTAATGCTAGAATGAGTTAATATTTGGGGAGACTACTGGGAAGGCATAATTGTATTTTGCAATGTGAAAAGGACATGAGATTTGAGAGGAGCCAGAGTGGAAAGACATAGTTTGGATATTTATCCCCACCCAAATCTCATGTGGAAATGTAATCCCCAATGATGAAGGCAGGGCCTGGTGGAAGGTGTTTGGGTCATGGGGACAGACCCCTCAATTGCTTGGTGCTGTCTTTGAGATGATGTCTCAAAAAATATGGTGGTTTAAAAGTGTGTTGTACCTCCTCCCCTTGCTCCTGCTTCACCTTCTGCCATGACTGTAAGCCTCCTGAGGCCTCCACAGAAGCAGATTCCCCTATGCTTCCTATACAGCCTGCAGAACCCTGAACCAATTAAACCTCTTTTCTCATAAATTATCCACTTTCAGGGATTTCTTTATAGCAACGCAGGAATAGCATAACACACCTCCAATGTCTAGAAAATGAAGGATAAAATAAACACCCTATGATTTGAAATAATCATGTGTCTATGTAAAGCCTTCCAGTTTTGTCTCCCATCCTTCACTATATAAACTATGCTCTAGTCAAACTGTGCTATTTGATGATGTCATCTATATTTTTTTCCTTCCCAGCAATAATCCTATAGTCAAGAGATGCCCTGGGCTGACACTCTAACAGCTGTGATATCAAGGGGCTATTTGTCTTTATTTTGTCAAGTGTCTCTTGTCCGTCTTCCCTTCAGAAAGATCTCAGCTAGGGAAGAGCCATCACTGAAGTCTCACCATAACCACCATACACTCATAAGTTTCATTCTCCCAGATTCACAAAGGACACTTCCCCAAGTCTGATTTTGTTAAAATGAAAAACCTTCTAATCAAAGTGTATAAGCAATTCATCACTAAACCGATTTTCATTTCACCATCATTCCATTATGATCTGCCCAGGTTAATCAGAGGTAAGATAGAGGAAGCCTCAATTTACACTGAAATTTCTTAGCAATCGATGTTGCTGAAGAGAAATTCAGAACAAAGTACAGAAAACATTATGAGTTGGGGAAATATACAATTTTATTAATGGGCAGATACTCCAAAAAATGAATTTATCATCTTCTCAGTCAAGCTACTGAGCTTTAAAACACACACTACTAACACGGTGACAGAGATGTCATCAATGTTGCAGTAAGAGCTGCAAATGTTACAGAACTAATGAATTTTCATTAGAGACATCAGATAATTCCAGAATGGGTTAAGTTGCTACCATTTGCCTTTGCCATTAATATCATTGTCATGTAAAAGGTTTAATTTTCAGCTATTTTTGTTCTAGATAAAATCTTTGTCATTAAAATGAGGGATGATTTTGATATTTAATATATTCCATGGCATACTCCAGTGTGGTACTAATTTGGCCTTTTCAGTATTCTGCATATTAATTGACAATCCATCCCTCCTCCATTCCCCAGATAAGTGAGAACTGAAATAGAATGGATAACCAATCAAGTCACAGAATACTGAAAAGATCAACATAGAAGAAATGTGTAGCTCTAATCAAGAGCATATACAAGGCACTAAAATTATTTTCTCCCATGCTAATGACTATGATAGAAACAGGAATAATGAATGGCACCATCTAAATCCTTTTATGTAACAGTTCTACCAAAGCATAGCGAAGCTCCCTAAAACATAAAAACTAAGTATTTTAGTCAAAAGAATAAAACTGTGGTTTCACTTAACTTTTAGAACCATGCATTTTGTCAGATTCTGCAACAATTGGCAGATTATGTCCTGTTTTGAATTTTTATAGTAATCTATCTCATGCACACAAAATGTGTCCTGGAGTTGCAGAATGTCCAGGAGAACTGCAGAAAACTTATTTCAATACATACTCTATTAGTTTCCTTCTCTTATAGAATTTTCACTCTGGGAAGAACTGACATCAGTTGCTTAAATAATACATTAACCCTGTTTCCAGAAGCTATTGTTTTCATTTGAGTGGGCCTTTCCTCTAAGGATAAACTTTAGATTTTTATCCAAGAAGATAATATAATTTGTCATAATTTAAAGATCAATTGAATGTTTTGGATCAGTTTTATAGCAGTAATTATATAAATTTCCAGAGAGCAAAGATTATGGCATCATGCACACTTACAGCAGGTGTGAACAGTTGTACAATTTGATCAATTAACCCTATCTGTCCAAAATGACCAGGCTTTTTATACATTTTACACAATAGCACAAATGTAGAACAAATGTGAAATATACTAAATATTGTATATTATAATTTTCTACACCCAACTACACACAGAAAAACTTGCAGCCATCTGCAAGCCTCTCAAGTCAAAATCCTATTTCAATAACATTAGGACTTTTTGTCCTTAATAATTATAGTTAAGCCCAAATCACTCCCATGAGCTTTTCCTGAGTCAAGGCCTCCAATAAAAACAATAAATTTATCAACATAATGTCTTCCTTCGGGCTCAGAATTACTGAAAAACAACCAATGGACACAATCTTCCCACAAAATATTATTACTCTTATAGAAAAATTCATTCATTTTTAATAAGAATAATAGTACTTAAGTAACAATAACATATCTCATTTCATTCACAAAGATATGTTGTTGACAAATCAGCAGTTAAGATTTGTTTTTTAACTTGTTTCCTTGTTTTGCTCTGTGTTTTCAAAGCAGTGGAATGGATTTACAACCTCATTGGTACACAGACAAGATGGTGAAATGCCTAGAGACTCAAATAAGCACCTTGAAAAAAATGCCCAGAATGGAGGTCAGCAGCACCTTGTTGTAAACAAGTTTTTACATCTTGCCCTTCATTACATCCTAAGCTTCAGAGCTTCGGTTGAGAATAAATATGCAAAAAGTCAAATATGACAATAAGAATATTGCTTAAGTATAGCCTTGGGGCTACTTCAGCATTGTTTTAAGATGATTACTGGACTTAATCCCTCTAGTGTTGGATGTTAAATTCCACTGACTTTTTCAATTTAATGACTTGCTAATGTAAACTTCCATCTAGAATGATCAAATAGTATGTCATTTATTCAAATGTACAGTGGCTCTAATGTGCCAGCAAACTCCCTTGTCAAAACAGACAACTTTAAAAAAATGTTCAGTTGAGTCAGGAGCCCTACTTCCTAAATTAGCACCAAAGTGTCACCTTGATAGACCTATGAACAACAAAATCATTTATAATAAACCCAGCCTCCCTCTAGAGTGGACAGCCTCGTTCATGCATCTGTAGGAGTTCTAATTATTCCCTACAGATAAAAGAGCACTTGGAGAAGTTCAGGCATCAGCAACCTGTCGCCTCCAAATACATTCATCTGATAAATATATGCTTACCAATCTCCCTTGAGATCTGAGTGAAGGCCTCCACACCACTCTCGCCATAGTTCCCCTCAGAAGCCAGTGTCGACACATAATTCCATCCCAGTGCCGTCACGATGTCCACCATGGCTTGCGCTTGGTAGGAGTCAGGTGGGACCACTCGAGAGAAAAAGTCATACCTGGTGTTATCACTTAGCTCTGGGGCTGTGGATGCATAGCTGATTTGAGGTATCTGCAAAACAAATGGTGGGTCATTTCAACCCATGAAGAATCTTCAAGAATGATGGATTGTCATAAGAGCTAAACAGCCAAGGCTATATCAGAAACATAGACATATCAGCCTGAAGACAACATACAGTTTTATGACTGCCAATTTAATTAGAAAGTATTTTTTAATGGTCCATAGGCTCACTTTCTCTCAATACACAATATGTCTAAACAGTCAGAATTTCATTTTGCTTTAGTTTCCATTGTTTTCTTGAGCCAAAGCAAAACATTTGTGCTCTTTGTTGATGTTGCTTTTTCAGTCTGTACGTGATAAGCTCTGGTGCAGAAAGGAGAGAAAAATGAAGGCATATGCATCAGAAAAGGTCACCTCTGAAACTGGCTTTAGCTTTATAGGACACTAATGCTATACAAAGACTAACAAGGAATTTAATGAGATTTGTTTGTACACTTAATGCCATTTCAGTCTTAAGACTACATTTTCAGTAAAGTATTTTAAATACATTGTTTTGCAAGTCTATCTACTGTTTATTGATATAATCAGAGTGCTACAAAAAGATTTGAGAATTGCCAGCAGTCACATATCCTTTCATAGAAACAGCTTTCTAGCTCCCCAAAACATCACAGAAAAAGGAATCCAGACCATAAATTCTTTAAGAGACTATTTTTCTTTTAATGTGAATTGCTAGAAATTTTTCAAAACGAGGAATCCTATGTCACTTCTCAATAATGTGGGAAAGTGAGTTATGTGGTTGTGCCCAGTAACTCCTCTGACGCCATGCTGTGGTATGAGTGAAAGTTCAGAGATCAAAATGACTCCAAGATGCCCTAATTCAGGTGGCTTAGTTGAAAATACAGGTTTGACTCGTACACAAAAAAATTAACTCCGTGCTATATCACAAGCTGCAGCTAATGTCAGTGCTCAAAGAAGATGTCAGAGGTTGCAGTTCCATCTTTCCATACAGGGCCGTGCACTCTGGGATCCAACAGTCTCCACCACCGTCTAGACAGATGAATCCCAATCTGTGTAAACGTTTCAACTCCACTCTTTTTTTTTTAACTTATTTATTTTACCTTTGGTGCATACTATAGCTGGCATTTCTCCCCATGTTATCCCTCCTCACCCCCTCTCCCTCCCTATCCCCCACTGTCTCTCCCATACCTCCCCCAACTGCCCTCAGTGTGTGACACTCCTCTCCCTGAGTCCACGTATTCTCTATTTGTAAAGCCCTCAACATCTAGATAATCTTCTTCCTAAGTCTAGAGAGTCCTACTCCATACTGGTGGCCAATGAAATGACAACAAGGTTCCTAAAATGTTAAAGTAGCCCCTGGAGCAGCAGCAGAGCAATGTGCTTTGGCGCTGTCCAGGGTGCTGACAATTCTTTCAGCTTCCGTGGAACTTGGATCCACCTTCGTTGGCCATAACAATGAGTACCCAGAATAGTCTGGCCCATTTAACCCCAAATTCTTTCTGGTTCTGTTCTTCTAGTGGGGACCTTGTTAACTTACTTCTTAAAACTGTGGAACCCAGATGACCTGACCCTCCTCATCCTTCCCTTTGCCTTCTCTGTCAGATATGCTGGCCTTACTTTGACAAATTTTTCCCTTGATTAGATTTTGTGCCTCCATAGTACATGACTACTCGCAAGAACACCCCTCTAAATCTCAGACCACACACCAAACCTTGGCCTTTTTCACCTTTTCTTGTTTGTCTTCAGAGGGCCTGGAAAGGAAACCACGGGTAACTCAGTGAGATCTCCCTCTTACTAGGTAAAAATTTCCCAAGCATCAAAATCATGTGTATTTCTATGTTCTAAAGAAATAAGGTTAGCCATCTGACCTTCACTTTAGAAGAAATTCTGTGTATGTGCAAGTATGGGATGTGCGGAGGTAATAGGAGAGCATTCTATAGCAAATTCTATAGCTCTCCACCATTTCCTTGTCCGATTTGGATACATAATTCTCCCACTTCCTAAGCTACTAAGAGTCCAGCCATAAAACGACTTACACAATTCCCACCCTGCCTATAATAATAAGCCACCCTTTCTAAAAATGAGCAGAAAGTGTGAAAATTGAGTGTTTGAAACCAAAACTAATTATCTCAAATTACTACCTTCAGTCAGTCACTTCCAGGCTGTTTAATTAGCAGTCAGCCTCATGTTTAGGATTAATTAAACAGGTGTAAAGGGTATATAAAATAAAAGTGCAGATAGAAGGTGGTTGTTTTATTAATTCAGTAATGGATTTTCTCCCCAAAGTCTTGAAGAGTTTTCTCTTTGCAGATTAGTGTGTAGGAAAGTAATGTGAGCATATGTGTTTGTATTTTTATTTTTTCAGTCTACAATAATGCACATCAGGGTATATGAATAGTATTTCAAGACAAGTTTTCATGAAGTCACATCTCATTTTTATTTTGTTGTGGTAGACAACTAACGATTGGCTCATTAGGCATTTTAATTTCTGTGCCAGCATCCCCAGTATTTCTACCATTCACAAATTAAACCCCTCCTGGCAACTGAAGTAGAAATTGTTTAAAGACCTGGAATGCTTCTTTTTCTCTTCCCTACATCAAATCCACCCTAACTACCCCCTTAACCTTGGAGTTTCATCTACCAGAAACACAACAATGACAAAATGGTGGTAAATGGTAAAGATAAGTGGAGGAAAAAAATCAGAGGAAAAAGAAGGAAAGCATACTAAGAAAACAAATTGCTAGGAAAAGCACCCATCATCAGTTCCCCCATCCTTAAAAAAAAAGCAGCATTTTTTATAAGCCTCTGTTAACTCCCATTGCCAACATAAAGGATAAAATCCAAGCTCTTCAGTCTGGTTCACAAATACCATCAGATTCTGTCTCATCTTCCTCCCCTGATCTGTACCTTCTCTCCATATTCTCACAGCATCTGTACCGTTCCCCAGACCAGGAAGTCTTAATGCTGTCCTCTATCTAATGATCTTCTACACAAATTCAATATCCAACTCAAAAGTCACCTCCTTCTGGGGACACTTTCACTCCATCAGGCAGGGCTGTCTTTTGCTATTCCCGTCTTCCAAAGCCTCCACCATCTAACATTAGAATCATGACTCTGCTGGCTTATGATCCTCTCAAGACCAAGCAACGTCTCTGTTTGTTTATTTGGTATCCCCAACACCAGGCGGAGCAAGTGCTCAATGAGTATCTGAGGGAAACTGATTAAACTGCAGCAGGAAATTTAATACAGCTTCTTTCCCACCACCTCCTCCCCTGCATTCCACCAAAATATTGTGCAGGCAATTCTCCATTTGACCCTCCTGATCCTTCCCCATCCTGCCGAAGTGCCTAGGAGGCTCTTCTCTATGACTATATTGCCTGGGCTTCCTTGACTCTGGCTTCTAGTTGAGTTTGGTCTGAAGGGTGAGGGGAAACAGAAAGAAGTTAGAGTATTTATGCCCCAGCGTCTTCCTCCACTGACTCAGTGTTTCTTCACCTAAGCCCTCACCCACAGCTACAGCTCTTGTCAGATTCCAGTGACCACTCTCTACCATTATCCCTGTAGGTTCCCCCACAGTTGCTGGCTCCTAAGCACTTCATCATCCCTTGTTTTTTCTAACTGTGCCCACGCTTACAAATAGGCCTTTTGTGGACCTCTTTTCCATTACTTGTGAGGGTGCCAGAGGCCTGATGAACACAGCCCTATGGCAAGTCTCTGTAGAAGACAACACTCCTGTGCCCCCCCAAGCTCAGTGCTGCCCTAACCTCAGCCCTTTTCTAGCCACCTGCCCTTCCAGCTTTCCCTACTGCTGTCCTTAGGTGACTTTCTCCTTTCCTTTCTCCTTCAGTTCCCTAAGGCATCCTATTGCATATTTGAAAACACCTGTCATTTTGTTTTTCTTCATTTATTATTTTCTTTGTGCTGAGGCTTCATAAGAATATAATACATGCTTGAATAAGGCCATATTTCTATTACTCAAAGCATATTTGAGGCAATTAATTATACAACTCAGGACACTCATCATCACTCTCTTTTTTAAAAAATGTTTTAGATTCCACTTTTCTAATAATTATTTTGGTTAGAAAAACTCTTTTTCTTCTCTCACTACATTCTTCACTTCAGCCAACAAAAGAGGAAATTCCTACCCCCCAAACCCACCCTCTCTGGGAGCTCCAGAACACTAGAAGACAATAATCAATATTTCCTCTCTCACTCTCCATTCCTTTACTGACTTTCCCAACATGGAGGGAGGGGGAAACAAATCAAAGCCAGAGTTCTACATTTATTGGGAAAAAGAGGATAGCAGGCTCTCCCTTTATTCTCTGACCTGTCTACTCATATCTCAGGCTTCTTTTCTCTATAATGTCAAAAGACCAGGCAGAGCTTCAATTCTTGGGAAGGAAGCCCACCCTCTTCTCTCCATATTCCACTGGCAACCAGATGTTTGAGAAATGCTTGAAGCCCATGCTACTCATTGCAAGTGAACTTTAAGTCTTCTGTGCAGGCAGAAGCGGGTCCCAAGGTTGAGATGAGGCACAAGAGTAGGAGCCACAGGTTCAAGCTGAATTATCTCCAATCCAATTCTTAACAGATAGCCATGTGCCTGGGGAGTTATTTGGTGCTTGCCCAGCTGTTAATAAAGCTAATTACTTGATCTACATTTAATTAGCTGTTCTGTGAATACTGGATTTGCAAACTGAGAAATTCCAAAAATCTGGCTTAGAGCTCAAGGAGATTAAAGTTCTATTTCAAAAAAAATCATTTACATATATTATTAATAGAAGTTATCAGAGATTATTGTCTTCTAGTGTCTGTTCTCCTTTTTCCAAATGAAACCTCCAATTTTCACCTAGTGACCCAGAATATGACTACATTTCCTAGCTTTCCTTGCAATGGTGAGTGAAGCTTCTGAAAAGTATCCTTAAAAGGAGAAGGCATGCCTTTCTCATGCTCTTCCCTCTTTCTTGCTGGCCAGATTCTGGACAGAATGTCTGGAGCTTCATTACCCATCTTGGGCTATGCCCTAGCAATGG